ATAAAGCAAGTGGGCAGGTTTTGTTATTTGGGTAGGTGTATCTCAACCAGTGAACGCATCATGGATGAAGTGTCAACTCACATACAGAAGGCTCGATTGGCATTTCCCAACTTGGGACATCTGTGGCACCGCCGTGACATCCGACTGTCTTTGAAGGGTCTAGTGTTTGCTACGGCAGTTCGGCCAGTTCTGCTATACGGCGTAGAAACTTGGTCATAAAGACAACAGGATAAAGATAGACTGTCGGTGTTTAAACACTGTCGTATACGCAGCATTGCACGAATTTGGTGGGACAACTGGACGAGGAATGCTGAGGCTAGGCTGTTCACGAGTGAAAAAAAACAAGGGTGGTCAAACTAAGACCTCTCATGGGGGTATAAAAACCCTAACCAGGAGACTCAGTCATAAAAGTGTCGTTAGGCGTCATTGTAATCAATCGTTAGAGTGATATGGCTGAGTGTCGTAAGCAGTGGCGTTCGTGCATCTTCTCAATGTCTTTGCAATCTTAGTCTATTAAAATTCTTCATTTTCTCTTCGACTCCGCTTCCAACTTTCCTGTCTTCTACTACTTTATCTAAATCGGCAGCCAAAACACAGCAACTAAAACGGATGCACCCGTGTTTATGGTTAATGGCTGTAAAAACTGAGACTGATAAGTGTTTTGTGTGTTGGACGCTATGGTCGGAGGTTCGAACCCCGCCGCCGCCACTCAAATTTTCCTATTTAGAACTTTACTGTGGTCGGGTTCAGTAACACACGTAACGTAGCAAATCGTATGTGATAGTGTGATACTGCCCACGAAGCTCAAGCTGTTACCATCGGCCTGACCTAGCTATCTCTGGGCCAATTAGAATATCCGTAAAAAGACCGCATTATATCATGTGTATTGCGTTACACACATGTCCGAGTTCAGACTGTATGGCAAACAAATCACACTGCACTAATCCTTGTAAACGCAAAAAGTTCTTTGATTTGCACGTGGGTGGAATATTGCCGGGTTGCCCAGGTCAAGGCATGCGAATTTTCTTGGGAATCTACAAGCCTTCGTCTGGCTCAAGCAACCAACCTTAACAGATACAGCGCCAAAATAATCATGGGTTTAACGCGAAATATAGAAACAGAAACGGGAAAAACAAAATATAGTCAACATTGGGAATAACAATTTTTTTGTTTACTGCTCACCATTTTGACTTTTGTTTTATTCTTGGGATTGCACACAGAAAAGGATCCATGCACGCTACCAACTTCGGTTCAATATCACATCGCGCAGTGTCCCCAACCTAGGAACCGGGAAGCCCCGACGGAAGCCAAATCTAAGCACAATCTCTTTAACTCTCTACGCCACGGTATAGCCTGCCCATCTCACTGTTTCTTCCAGCCCGGACTGATGTCTACAAATAGTGCACTGTATGACACGCTGCTGAGGCATTCATATGACATGCCCCAGCCACCTAAGACAATGCAGCGAAATTATTTTGCTCAATAGAAGAGTATCTGATCCTAACCCACGTCGTCTGACGTTATCGTTATTCACGTGATGCTCCCGCCATGCGCGGGTGATGCTGCGGAGACAGTGGTTGTCGAAGACGGCTATTCATTGGACTTGATTTGCTTGGAGAGGTCAGGTTTCGCAGCCATAAAGCAACACGGCGAGTTCCCGTTGCTCAGTACACATCCTTTTCATGAAAGGGTGATGTCGCACTGGCGTCAGAGATGCCGCAGATTAGCAAATGCCAATCAAGCTTGGATTACGCGTTGAGAACTCCCCTCGCCCACATCTCCGCCAGTAGTTATGCAACTCCCGAGGTAGACAATGCTTTGGACTACTTCCAGGGAGTGGTTACCGAACAGAAGTACGTTTGTTGGGTAACCACGGTAACCAAAGGACGGGTTCCTTTCAATCTTGCAACAACACCTTGCACTTTGACGGTGCAAAGAGCATGCCATAACGAGTAACCCCACTGGTGAAACGATTTAGCGACTCTTAAATCGTCGCTACGTGGTCACCAAGTAAAGCAATATCAGCGGCATACTCTAAGTCTACGACTCTGTATCCAGGGGGATGCTCGCCACCAGCGTTCATTACGTTTATTAACGCATTTCGTAGAACATCTACGGCAAACTTGAAGGGAAAAGGAAGGATATGGCAACTCTGTCGTACCCTACTGGTGACGGCAAATGCCGGTGAAAATTCTCAGAAGTCTGACGGCAGAGTGCTTTTAGAAGCAGAACATAGTTCTCAAGTACTCCGTATCTCCACAAACAGTTTCACAGTGCGGTGCGATCCATAGAGTCGAAGGCCGCTCTGATATCCAAAAACGACGATAGTTTGTCGCCTGTATGCGTGGCAGTGTGCTAGTAGATGACGAATTGTAAAGATTTGACCTGTGCAACCACGGCGTGCACGAAACACATCCTGTCTTTACCTTTCGCGAAATGGACTGGGTCTGTGTAATAAAAAGGATGCTAGCAGTTTCGGTGCTATTCGAATTAGACTTATGCCCCCATAAAACAGACGTTGCGCCAGACGTTGCGTAGATGGGTGTAAAAATCGATTCTCCCCACGTGTGGGGTACACTTCCAGTTTCTCAGATCTTCGAGAACAGACTGACAAACTCTTCCACGAAGCTTCTCCAGCATATTTTAAGAATTCAGGTGGCAGGTCGTCTGATCCAGCTGTCTCGTGGCATTTCAGGGCTTGGAGTTCCTTTCGGATCTCCGCTTCTGTGAGCGGTCCCGTGGATAGTGACCAGGGTGCACTCTAAGGAGAACTGTTTGAGGCAGCCGGCGCGAGGACTGGTTGAACTGTGATGTGAAATGTTCTGCCTAGCGTTGCAAGCGTCTGCGAAGACATACCGGTTACCTAGCAGATTGTTTCACTAACGCACTGCCTTTGGGGCCCGTAGCACGGATGAGTTCGAATAGTTGCCGGGTGTTTCCACATCTAGCTGCTGATTCCATCTCCTTTGCACGTAGCGTCCACCGGGCTTCTCAGTCGTCTCTGAAACTGTGAGTTCACGCTTCAGAGAGAGGCGCTGTTCGCTGTACTCGCGGTCTGCTTGGATTGTCCGACGCGCGTCAAGAAGTCTAAGAGAGGTTGGAGAATACCCGGTGTTTTATAACTCGGTGGGTCATGCCGCAACTGTGTAAACTGGCTGAGTGCATTGCGTTTTGTGTTGGCTAGCACGGCCGAATCAGAGAGCTTGGCGACATCAAGGTGTTTGCATCTCATCTTTTTGCGACCATCAAGTTGCATAGACAACTTGGCATAAACCAGTGCTCGGTCGGAGTCCAAGCAGGTAGACCAATACGAATGGAAGTCTTTCACGCATCCTCTCCATCAATTTGAGTCCCTATCTGTGCCGAAGAGCTGTTACGCGAAATGACGAGGTGGCACTTCGGGTGTCTGAAGTTCGTGCTAACGAGGGACAGATTGTGTTCTGAGTATATGCTAAGAAGTCTATCCCCGTTATCTGAAAGACAGCTATCAAGACCATGATGGTCACCAAAATGGGTCTCATCGGGTGACAAACGACCAGCACGTGGGCTTAGGTCACCGGCCAGTATCATGATATTCGTCTTTGGTGCCTTGCGTACGGTTTGGTTGATCGGTATCCACTCGCCTTCTGTGTTGCGTATCAGTTGGAATAGTGAATTCAGCGGCTACTTCATTAGCTACACCACGTTTGGGTGGCAGGCTTAGTGTCTTTTTGCAGAGATGTTTATGTAATACATTATTCATATCGTTTAATGAGCTGGGTATTTTCCTCATAATTTTATAAGTATTTCTACCTGAATATACTTGCTTTAATTATGAACACCGATTGCACTTCCGCAGTTCTATATATCTGTTCTTTCGTCTTCTTTCAAATGTGCATTCCATTTAGCGCCTGATAACGGATGCATTTGTTTCGTTCTACGAACTGGGTTAAGCACCTCTCAGGGACGGTTACTCAAAACCATCATGTACAGTGTAAAGACGGTCACTGCGAACAATATGGAAACATTTCTGTTTATTGCATTCCTGCTTATGTTTGCAGTTGTTGCATCAGCCTACGTTTGGATTGAAGGTTAGTTTGTTCATTTACTTTAGGCTTTTCTCACTGTTAATTTGGATGACACTGTTCTAGACAAAAGCAGCACTTGTTTTTAGCTCATTTTTTGTCTGCTGTGTTTTGTTTCTATGAATTTATATCCAAATTGGCTGAATTACACAATAGCAGTTTATCTTTTTTCCAATGATGAAATTCACTGACTTTAACTACCGCCTGGAGTACCATACCTCTCACTTCCTGCTCTATATTGTTTTTATTCCATTAACTCCCTCGCCTAATGACAAATCGACTTTGCTGATGTCTCTGATGATGTTTGCTGATTCGCGTGCAGCGTTCAGCATCACGTTCGGCACCGAGTGAATGCCAGTTCTGATTCCAGCTTCCGTGACCGTGCACGTTTTCAGCCCCGAATTCTGCATACCTTTTTTGACTGTACTGATCTTCAACGGTGTCATTTCGAATGCGGCTTTGAGAGGAGCACTCTTCTAGAAAGCTACACAAGGCGACGCCAAAGAACATGGCCGAACCATGAACTGACAGTTTTGTAGCAGTACAAAAATCTTCTCAACTGAACAGCAGTAAACTTCCTATTTGGATTATCGGTTGTACCACATTGCTTTCCGGATGTATTGCGGGCATCAGTGATCCAAAACCTCCAATCTTTAAGGTCTTGAGCTGTTACTGGCCATGTCTTTTTTTGTTACACACCCGTGTGTTGAACGGCAGTCGGGGTAAACCTCATAGTCACGAAGACCGGCTATTAAATGATGGTTGCCGGCAACCTAAGCCCCGGGACTTGGAGTGGCGAACAACATAAGGCCCCGCTAGGTCAGGTGTGGTATAGAACCGGATGGCAGCAAAGCTGCGGTTGTATTTCGGGACAGGGCAGATGGTAGCTCAACATACTCGTATCTTAACACAAGCTGATTTGGTTGCGTTACCATAATGCTTGGTGGAGTTGTAGAAAAGCATGTCGGTAGCGAAGCGCAGCTGTTTTTAATCTTCGGCTTGATCATGGGGCTAGATATTGAAATCGAGTTACTTGAAATCCTGGACAAATTCTACTATTTCGCCTTTGATGGTAATCATATGTGCTGGAATAGCTTGGTCACAGTGGCTTTGGTCTTGGTCGTGCGTAATTCCACTTTCTTTTCAAATTTCCCATACGTCTGAGTCTGGACTGTGTGCCCAACTAATCATGCTAGAATATTCTTTATGTAAAAGAATAAAGTTTTAGAGGTTCCTTGTGGGCACTATACTGCCACGTTTTCTGTATTGAGGTAAGTGAATTTTCTTTGGGGAAATGTAGCCAGAGCCTCTGGCTAACCAAAGCCTGACCCACTAGGAAATCATTTTTCTTTCTCAAAACGGATTTCAGTCGAGGGTTGGCTATATTTTGTCCACTATCGCCCAATGCTGTCATCATTCGATGGAGAAGTCATCGTTCAAGATCTATTTCACCACCTCCAAGTCCACCTATTTGTAAGGTGGGACTCACTCATTCACGGTTTATCACCGGAGTGGTCACTCTCTTATCCATGACCTGGGTGCGTGCCCGGTAGCACTCAAATGTGCCTCTCGTTTCAGGTATCCGAGATAGGGTTTTTATAGGTAATCAGTCATTTTAAGTCCCAGTTTATTAATATTGTTCATATCCGTTTATGTCACCCTTGGCTCCATGCTATTATGCTCCATCATTCAGGATATGGCATGCGATACAAGTCGAACCGTTACAGTGAGCTTAATTGAACCATTCGCTTACCAAGGTGAACTGTTTAGTGACGATTGGTGTGTAACTCTTCGTCCCGTTCTTACCCTTAGAGTTCGCTGTGCCAGATTCTCCCTAGGGTCATTAGAAAATTATGTCTATCCAACTCCGGCGGAGGCGGTCCTGCTCTAACATTATTCTTCTTGCTCGCAGCGAAGGAACAAAACTAGTCGATGAAGGCGATACAGTAAATTTCTCCAGCGTATTCCGTTAGATGAAGCACCAAATATTAATGCACAAGTTTTTCCATGGTCTCGCATGTGATTTGATCGAAGCCTTTCTCTGACAGCGTACTATATTTCGCATCGTATGCTTGGGGGGACGTTTAATCGTCAGCTTCATGAATCGAACGTTCTGTATCCACAAAATATACCAGAACTCAAAGGGCAGAAATAACCTGACACTTCACGGAATACTCAACGAAACTCTCCGGTGGTTTCTCGAGAACTATATGGATTTCCATGTATCAAAACGCGAATTCGTCGTTACACCACAAAATTTGGTTCCCGCATTTCTTCGGAAACCAAACACTGCTACGGGTCTCAAATAGGAATGACGTGTGTGGCATTCTCCATGAAAAATTCAGCTTTTTCGTTATCTGTTATCCACAGCTTTAAAACCTGTCGGCTTACTCACGCGTTTAATTGACGACGCAAAAATATGGAATACAGTGACATAACTTGAGAACTCACTGGCACTTCAGAGAACATATGATACTGCTTACCAATGGTTGATCGAAAGTGACATCGAATTCAATGCATCAAAATAGTGGTATGAGGCGGTGGCGCAGTGGTTTAGTCGCTGTCACCGGCGTGCTTTGGACCCTGCGGTCCGAGGTTCGCGCCCCGCCACCGCCACCCGACTTTGGTGGTAGGCAGCTCTGCTGTCGTCCGGTTCAGTACCACGCCTAGCCTATCGGGGCCTTATGTGGTTCGCCACTCCAAGTTCCGGGGCTTAGGTTGCCGATTTCAACCACTGAACAGCAGGTCCTCGTGACTATGGGGTTTACCCCGTCTGCTGTTCATCACACCTAGGTGTGTAATAATAAAAAAAGTATGACTTCACCAAAGAACTTGATTTCCGTAGTTTCTGAGATATCCACTACTCCTATGTATGCTTCGGTTAAAAGGGCTCTCAGTATCATTGTTCAAGATGTCCGAAGTTGTTCTGTAAACTGTTCCAGGGCGTTGTCCACGGCAGTAAAACACGTTGGTTTGCCAAAACAAGCTTTTGGCAAATTTGAAGCTATTATTTTCCAAGTCAAGTTAAGCTTCCCACGTTTGATATCGGATCACGTTCGACATAAAGCACTATCGCAAGATTTTGGAACGACCACAAAGAATTGCCACGAAGATGGTCAAGGGATTGCATTCCAAGACTCCGGGCAAGGCTGGAAGAAGCGACGAGGCGGTCAGACCATGACATGGGCTAGAGGCATGAAGAAGCTGGCTTCGGTTGGTGCAGCCCGCCTTCCAGGTTGGGGCCCAAGGGATGAGGAT